CTTCATACCCTGGCCATCAATCATGCGCTCTGCATATAGTTAGCTTTGTGACTTCTTCAGATAGGAGAAAAATTAAATAAGATAACGTACGGGGCAGACCGCCAACATTGTGGTGGGTCTTGATGGTGGCAGAAGGACCCTTGAACGAGATACTCTCGATGACATCAGGGTACAGGGTACCCTGCAAGAACCACTTGATCTTGGCACCAGCATGCTCGGCCTCGGCCTCGATCTTCTGGGCCTCCTCCTCGAAGACATCAATGAACGTGCCACCAATGAACTTACGCTTCTTCTCGGGGTCGGTGACACCCTTGAGTCCATCCAAGAAACGCTTGGAAGCGTCCACAACGGTCAAGTTGATGCCCAGGTGCTTGTTCAGGGTCTCGGAGACAATGTCGCATTCGTTCAGACGCATGCATCCGTTGTTGACAAGAACGGCATGGAAACGGTCGCCAATAGCCTCCTTCATCAGCTTGGCAGCCCTAGTGACGGTTGTTAGCACTTGCAGGCTAGCAAGAAACTGAGCCCGGCACTTACACGGTGGAATCAACACCACCACTCACAGCACCCAGCACGTGGTCGGTCTCACCGACCAAGTTGCGGATGCGGGAAATTTCCTGGTCGACGAAGCGAGACATGGTCCAGTTCTGTTGAGCGCCGCAAATGTCGACGGCAAAGTTCTTGAGGAGGGTTGTGCCTAGGCCAGTCAATACCTAGCAGCTACAACGAGTCACACAACCCATTCATCTTGCAGCGTACCTTTAGGCGTGTGGGTGACCTCGGGGTGGAACTGGACACCGTAGATGGGCTTGGACTCGTGGGCAATACCAGCGTACGGGGAGTTGGCGGAGGTGGCAATGGTGTGGAAGCCCTCGGGCAGCTTGGCGAGCTTGTCACCGTGGCTCATCCAGACCAGCATGTCATCCTCGATGCCGGCGAACAGCTTGTCGACGTGACCCTGGGAGTCGAGGCGCTTGGCGTTCAGGTCGGCATGACCGTACTCGCGCTCGGTGCCGGCGATGACGTTGCTCTTGTCCAATCGGTAGGCGATTTCTTGCAGACCGTAGCAGATACCGAGAATCGGAACTCCAAGGTCGAAGAAGGCGGGATCGACGTGGGGGGCTGTAGAAGGTGACCGGGTGGAATGAGTCAATCCGGCAGGGAGAATCGAGCTTTCATGATTTACTTACCACCCTCCTCATAGACACTGTAGGGACCACCGGAGAGAATGATACCCTTGGGCTTGAAAGGGAGATCGGCTAGCTTCTGAGTGCAAGGAAGCATTTCACTGTAGACATTGATCTCTCTCAGTCTCCGGGTCAGGAGGTGAGTCTGGGTGGTAGAAAATGTGTCAGTGACTCAGGTTGCGATAGGCGGGGTACATTGAACTATTGCGAGACTCTAAAGGAGAGGAAGCGGGGAAGAGACTAACGTATTGAGAACCAAAGTCCAGAGTGAGAATGGTGTCGAAGGTAGCATGGGGGATATCCTGGTCGGCCATGATGACGGTTCTTTCAATTGCTCGTCCCAATTGAAAAGAATATACAATGGGTTTGGAATGATGATGGCGAGGAAGAGAAAGTCGGAGGGGAAAGCGGGCTTGCACTTTTTTTTTCTTTCCCTTCCCGTCGCATTTCTCTGCCGGGCGGTGAAATGCGCCCGATGGTACAGTCCCCGGCCGGGCGGTCAAAGAGATAACGCTTGACGGTTATCTCACGGGGTTCCGGCCAGAACAGCATGCTGCTTACATAAGTTACTCATCTGAACTGTTAAGCTACAGTAAGTTAGTTAGTTATCTCGCTGACATAGTCTAGCTCATTACCCTAAATCTACCCTGTGCCTGGTTAGTACCTGATAAATTATAATTACTCCGTAGTAACCGGTAAGTTCAGTTGGTTGCTCACTAGAACCCGAGTTCGGGATTTCGCTTGGCAGCAAAAACCCCAGATCATCACAAGGCTCGTGGCATGTGAGGAGTACTGAAGAAGATAAAATGGAGTTTAGCTAGTTGCATCTGAGGATTTTCATTGGCTATGTTTCTTCCAGACACGCTTTTAGCGCAGCGCCGGTCGGAAGGTGGTGGCGATGCTGAACTGGCGAGGCGCCCGCATGCGCTGTGGACTGCATCCATAGTCCTCCATCAATTTAGATTAGTCTAGTCTGAAAACAATTTCAAATGGTTGACTTACATCCATATACTTCCCGTCTGCAAATGAACCAATCCGTCCTGCAAGCCACCAAGGCTACCACTCCCATTCGGACATCATGATACGAGCTGCCAGCCATAAAAAGGGGGAGAAAAGGGGTGGTGGGCAGAAATGGGAGATATGAACTGTCTGTCTATCAGAAAGAAACACCTTCATTCCGAATGCACGCTTCCATCCTCTCTCTTTGAATGAATCAACCCACTGTTTCACGGCACGACTGGGCAGCCTCGATGAAACAGGCAAATGGGACCTGCAGGCAACGCCACTCCAATTACTTACACTTGGCTGGGGAGAGTCAATAAAGTGGACCGTGAACAGTTCTATCCTGGGTCAACACGAAGGAAAGGGTCCGCGCGGGCTAGATTGAGCCATGTTTGCCTTTGCCTACTATTTGCTATGGAGCACTGAGAGAGTGGTACACTGGTACCTGACTCTTGCATCAATCAACTGGGCGTTCCGATCCTGAAGGATTCTCCCAGTGGAGGCTGGACTAAACCATGCCACCAAACAGACTCGATAATTCTTATGGCTATAATACCTATAATGCCTGGTCTCTCCGTCCCTGGACCCTTTTCACTCCTCTTTTTTCTTCTTCTCTTTGTGCAGTAATTCTTTGTCCGCTCTTTTTTCATATTCCTTCTCTCGATAATTTAATAATCCCGTCTAGGAAAGAGGACTCTGCCTAAAGTCCATCCATTCATTCTCTATCTACCGTCGAAATGCGCACCACGGCTTTCTTGACCACTGCTGCCACCCTTTGCCTGGCAACCCTGTCTACTGCCGCCAGTACTACTACGATCAACCTCTTTCAGCCTGGTGAGGAGACCATTCCCTACAATGATGTGGAGGCGAGCATCATCGGGGTCACTGGGGATACCACCACTGTTGCTATCGTCTGCGGCCCTTCCGCAGCTGCATCGACTTGTGCCCTGCACAGCCCAGTCACCATTACTGAGGGTCCTTCTACTTTCACTGTGAGCGCCGTCATAACTTCTACTACGGACGATGCAGAATATACGGTTACCCTTGTTGAAGACTGCGATATCACCTCTGTGACTCAAGGTGCCTCCTGCTCCATTTCCATGGATTACACTATCGCCTACAGCGGCGAAACCACTTCTTACTCAACTGCCGCGGAAGCCTCTCTGCCTGCTCGCCTAATGAAGTACTCGCCCGTGACGGTCACTGCGGGCGCCGACAAGTTGTCTTCCTCTGCTACTAAAGCAACTGGGACCTCTTCTGGCTCTTCTAGCGCTGACAGCAAGAATGATTCTACCACCACTGCCACTGGCAGTGCCGCGACCGAGAGTGCATCTTCTTCCAAGACCTCCTTGGGCTCGAATGCCTCCAGTACCCCCAATGGCGCAGCTGGCCACCAAGCCATGACTCTGGGTGGTGCCTTTGCTGCTGCTTTTGTTGCCGTTATTGGCTTGCTGTGAGCGGTGGGTGGGTTTGACTAACTGACTTGCTGCTTGGTCAAATGCGACGAGAGTCATCAATGGAACGGTGTCGTCGCAAATTAACTAATTCTTGCCCACATATTTGCATCATCCCATCTTTTTCCTAGCTTCTCGAATAACACGACCATTTCAGGCTATCCTTGCAACCTTTTCATGGGCATTCTCACCATGATAACGAGTTGGAATGAGCACCACGGTTGAGATTCTGATTTATTGCTGTTGAATAACTCAAACGAGACTCCATTATATATCCATCTGTTTCACTGTAGACTTCACCGCGTCAGTGCCAACCGGTAACTAGACCAGATAGCCGACTTAAGCTCCTACGATTAACCAGATGGGCATAGTACAGTACAGTACATACGTACGTATGTATGCGTGTATGTGTGTACTGTACTATACAGACTGAATTCTGTGTCATATCATCAAGCACTTTGCTAGCTGATCAAAGATCAAAGTGCTGACTGATTTGCATATATGTGATAACTATATCCTACCTTTACCCCACGCTCTAGTCACTAGTATGTGTAGTACCTTAGTACTGGTAGCTGCAGTGCCCGCTATTGATCTGCGCTTGTTCTTCAGGACAATGGTTGGTATTGTTCTGGAGACAGCCAATCACTTGCCGTAGCTCCAATTTAGTCAGCTCTGTTTGTGGTTCCCGGGAAGGGCGGAGGAGACCTCGGAGATGATTCAAGGTCACGGGTTGAAGATTGAACCGTTGACTAGTCCCAAATGAGAAGCAAGGGTTGGGCTGGAGGCTCCATCCATGATCCAGTCCATCCATGATCGATCCCTAACTACTACTTCATACTTGAGTGCTACTGAGTCCATCACGTCACACGCGCACCACCACCACTAACTTACTCGGTACCTCCACCGACCGCCCTCGAAGCGGTGTCACTCTCGAACACCCGAACGTTTGAACTGTCCCCCCCCACCTCCGCATGAATCAAAGTAGACAAGGAAGAAGAAGAAAAATCCTGAATATTGTTAAGCGACTTGATTGATGTGGGAATTATCTTCGCTAGCCTGTTAGACGGTCAATATCTGATTTTCATATTGTATAACTTATTCTCTTTTTACTGCTTCGAAATCAGCCCCCACGAGAAAGTGTTTTTCCCCCTATGCCCGCGACACCGACCGTCCCTCGCAAGATAGGCAAACCCGCCGCCATCTTGCATCACTAGTGAAACTGCTCGGTCCTCTACTCCGTACTCCTATCGCCACTGCTGCTCCAAGTTCATCTTCCGAGCATTTCTCAAATCCCTCCCCCTCTTCTCTCGCTGCTTTTTGCATTTCTAGACAGAGAGGAACGATCTTGACGGGCGCCATGGCCCGTATATCGCCCACTTTCATCCTCGCCGCAGCGACGGTCATCGCAGTACTCAGTAGCGGCGTGGGGGCATCGTCTATCGGAGATCATTCAGCCCCAGGCGCTTCTCCTACACCCTCCCCGTCTGCTACCATGCAACAGTCCGCCTCCTACCTAGCTGCCTCGGAGTCTGGAGGGGATGCTGAGGATAATGGAGAGTGTAGGCTCCTTGGTCCCTTTTCGCTGCTGGTGCAGGCCGCACTTGGGGCCCTGGCGCTCTTATCGCTGGTCTATAAGCGTTGGAGGGAGAGACCCCAACGACCGGTGAAGGTCTGGGCATTCGATGTTTCAAAGCAAGTCTTCGGCTCGGCCATGTTGCATCTGGCGAATCTTCTCATGTCCATGTTCTCGGCCGGCCAGTTTGAGATTCAAAGCAAATATAAGCCCAACCCATGTTCGTTCTATCTTCTGAACTTGGGAATAGATGTGAGTGACCGATTCTGATCCTGGGCAGCGCTGAAGTGATAGCCAACTAATACCCCGGCGATCACAGACCACTCTCGGTATCCCCATCTTGATCTTCATATTACACATCTTGAGCCGCCTCGCCATGTTTACTCCCCTTGCGAATCCGCCAGAGTCTATTGAGTCTGGAAACTACGGTCGCCCGCCCCGTGCTTCCTGGTGGTTCAAGCAGTCGATGATATACTTCCTTGGATTACTAGGGATGAAGATTTGTGTCTTCTTCATCATTCAATTGCTGCCTTTTATCGTCAAGGTGGGCGATTGGGCTCTACGGTGGACGGAGGGCAATACCGCTGTCCAAATCATTTTCGTTATGCTTCTTTTCCCGGTTATCATGAACGCCATTCAGTATTACATCATCGATACCTTTATCAAAAAGCCGCTCTCTCTGCCACAGGGCACTGTGGAAGAGGAGAATGGCGGTGACCGAGCAGCTGAACACGATGACGAGCACCGTCGTGGACTGCTGGCCGGCGTGGATGATGATGTTTCGTTTTCGGACGATGGTTCGGTGGGTAAAGGTAGAAGGGGACCTGACTCGGAGAGCTCTACACCAGGGAAGGAAGATCTCGTACGATTTGACTCGGTGGAGTATAATCCCGCCGCTCATGGCGAATGCAGTTCAGCATCGTCAGCGACGGTGTCGGCCAGGTCTGGAAGCGATCGTGATGGGCTCGGAGGATCATCTCCGTCGATCAAGCCGAGTGGCCAACCAACGGATACACTATAACGACTCTCCACTTACACACATGCGATCTTGCGGCGTTTGGTATTTATTCTTCTAAACTGTTTTTGATCTAAGGTCCGTAAAGGCATGGCGATTACCTCTATGCATATTTGATTGTGGCTGTATAAATGGACGTGTACATGAACCATTTGCCATGATGGAGTTATTTATCTTGAGAATTGTGCAATCCTGTTCTGGCGAACTCTTATTGATTCTTGTGATCCCTTGCCTAACTCATATTGTATGTGCCTGAACTTCGAGGCTATAAGAAGGGTCCACCGCAGTGTTCACCGCCCGCAACTGCCGGCTCAAGCGAAAGAAAATTATTGTCTGGCGGCAGGCATCGCATCTGCAATTCTACCTGCATGTGCATTTGTCTCTAGTCGATTACATTCTTCTCGTAAATTTCACCTATCGAGAAATACTCCTACAAACTTGATCCTACTGTTTGTACTTTGCTAGGTATCCCCACCAACAGAAGGTGGATCAGCCCCCAATGCCCAAATCGACCGTCAAGGAAAAGACCCGCCAAAAGTCCGGCGATGCCTCGTCGCGCTTGGTCTACGAGGCGGGCGAGCCCATTCGCGCCCAGAATGACGACGATGACATGACCAGCAGTGAAGGGAGTGACGATGAGTCGGATGTTCCCGAGAAGGATGAGGCCGAACTCAAGCTGGAACAGATGCTTTTCGGCGACGACGATGGATTTCTCGGCGCACTGAAGACTCAGAACGAGCGCGGTCTGGTACTTGCTGATCAGAGCGATGAAGAAATGGGGGATGGCGATGACTCGGAGAATGACGATGAAGAGCAAGATCTGAGTAAATTGGCTGACTCCGATGTATGCGATGGTTTTTTTGTTTCCTATTTGTCCGCAGAAAGACATTTGCTGACAGAATTGACTCGACACAGCTGTTCTTCCTTGATTCCGGACCCGGACCTGTTTCTGACTACATCGGCGAGGCGCCTGCGACACCGTCCGATGAGGAGGCTAGCGAAGACGAGGCCAATGGCTTGCCCGCCTTGTGGCATGATAGCGACGATGACCGTCTTACAATCTCACTGGCGAGCCACCAGCGGTTGCGCAAGCTGCGCGTCGCGGAATCAGAGGACGTCATTAGTGGCAAGGAATACATTCGCCGGTTGCGCAGACAGTTCGTCCAGCTGAACCCTGTGCCCGATTGGGCAGACCCCGAGAAAAACCAGCAGAAGGACGATTCCGACGCCGATGACATGGATACGGATGATGAGGAGCGCTCTTCCACACAACCTCTCGCGAAATTGCTTCAGGGTGCCACAGATCTCGTCAAGCTGGAGGACAACACAGGTCCTGGCGGCAAGAGAAAGATGCGTCAGGAGGTCATTGGCATTGCGAGACTCAAGGATGTCGGCAAGGACCAGCCGGTGAGTGTAATACTGTTCGTTTGTGCTTTCGTGCAGGGAAATAACAAATGAGCGACAGTCGGCCATCGATTCACTCTCTTTCCACCCTCATTACCCACTACTGCTCTCCTCCGGACAGGCAGCCACTCTCTTCCTGCATCACATCTCGCCCTCCGCCCTGGCTCCGAACCCTCTTCTCACATCCTTCCACATCCGCCACACGCCCCTTCACACCTCTGCGTTCCATCTGCCTAGCGGAAACCGCATTTTCGCATCTGGGCGTCGGAGATACTTCCACATCTGGGACCTGGAAACCGGCAAGGTGGACAAGGTCAACGGCACCTCGGACCGGAAGGAAGAGCAGAAGACGATGGAGCGCCTCAAGCTGTCCCCGTGCGGACGGTATGTGGGCTTGGTGGGCTCGGCCCGCAAGGGCGGTGGTCTCATCAACATCCTCGACTCCAATACGGCGCAGTGGATTGCACAGGTCCGTGTGGACGGTCGCGGAGGTGTGTCGGATTTCGCGTGGTGGAGCGACGGCGAGGGTCTGACAGTGGTGAGCAAGAGTGGTGAGGTCTCCGAATGGGACGGCCGCGAGAACCGTGTGGTGGCCCGCTGGATCGACGCCGGCGCCGTGGGCACGACGGTACTCAGCCTAGGCGGACGGTCCGGACGCACTCAACTTGGCGGTGACCGCTGGGTCGCCATCGGCAGCTCCAGCGGTATTGTCAACGTGTACGACCGTCGCGAATGGGCAGCCGCATATGCTACTGCTGCTGCCTCGAACACGGAGGAGACCAGTCAGACTTTCATCCCTCGGAGCCCCGAACCGGTACGCGTGCTGGACCAGCTCACCACGCCCATCAGCCACTTGGTCTTTGCGCCGGATGGACAGTTCTTCGTGATGGCGAGTCGCTGGAAGCGCGATGCATTGAGAATCGGTATGTTTGCTCCCCATGTCTCTCGATTTTTAACATATGCTGACTTCTATCCAGTCCACCTCCCCAGTTGCACGGTCTACCGCAATTGGCCGACCTCCAACACCCCCTTTGGCCGTATCTCCGCCGTGGCCATCTCGCCCAACTCGGAGCAATTGGCTGTGGGTAACGAGCAAGGTCGGATCCGTCTGTGGGAGATTCGCGGATGAGAGAGGTCGTGCATCTACTCGATAGTATTATATAGACGCGTTTTACGGTTTGGATCAGTGGCATACAAAAGTAATCACATTTCACACTCTGCATTGACGTTGGCTTTCGTATCTCATATCAAGCAGCAGCCGGGCTTTTCTCTCATCCTATGCTTACGCAAAGCTAAGCTACTCTGAAAAGCAAGAGTCACTTCTGGTAATTTCATCGATTCGGATATGATGTTTGGAATTAGATACTGAAGATTTCCCACGGAAAATATAACGAAAGCAGTCCGTCCTCTTGCCTTTGCCCCCCCCCCTCCCAAATCCAAAAGGGTATCCCCTCCCGCCCTTCGTCCCATTCCCTTTGCCGCTAATGCCCTTCCTTTCACCATCTCTCTCAGACCTATCTCCCCTCCATTGACCTCCCCACAACCCAACAGCCCAAGGCCCATTCGTGACCCGCAATTCACAAGCCCTAACCAAGCTAGAAAGACAGGTGCACGACCGGAATCAGTACAATGATTTTTTTTCTCAAACACCAGTGTAGATCAACAAAGGACCAAGCCTAGCTTGTCATTTACAAGGGGAAGGAAAAACTCACCAGACCACTCAGACCAAGCTACATATATCACAACAAACACAAGGTCATCACGTCAGCCTTTCGAGCTTTCCCAAACCCGCAAATAGAGAAAAGAAGAGTGAAAGAATAGAGGCTTACATTGCCCAATAGACCCGAGAGCTGTTTTTCCCAAATAAGCGAAAAGAGTCATGGTTAGCTTCCAGGTTTCACATGAATGCGGAGGAGGGTGGTGGTGGTAATGGGTGAGGTAAGTGTTGCAGGGTTCAACTTGAGGAGGGGGGAGATAGGGCAGAGGATGTATGGGAGAGTCTCCTTACGAAATCTTCGTCGGTTTCCTGTGATGTCTCGTTGGTTATTTTCGCTGCACGGTTGTAGAGATTTTGTCAAGGAAAGAGGATGGGGGGAAGAGAAAACGTACACCCTGGGTAGCGGCCGTCTTACTCGGCTGGGGGGTACTGCCGGAACTGCTGCTGCTGGGCTTGGAGGAAGGTAACGACGAGGGAGTCTGCGTGGGGCTGTCCTCCATCGTGCTCATGCTCATGGGCTGCTTGTTTGTCATCTCAGTGTTGCCGTGGGGGAGGGCGAGCGCCCCCGTAGCTGTCAGGGCCGCAGTGGCGAGGAGGGCGAGGGAGAATCTCATGGTGAGTTGGAGAGATGGGAGAACTCTTTGGGAATGAAAGAACGAAAGAATGAAAGAAGTGTAATAAGGTCGGAATAACGAAATCGAACAAAAAGAAAAAAACAAAAGCAGGAACGTGAAAGTGCACAGGGGACTTTAGAGCAAGAAGCGTGTATTTATTTAGGGCTTTATTGCTATGTTTCACGGGAGGGGTCTGTTACATGCCAGGATGAGGAACACATTCGAGGGATGGCAGGGTTTACGTTGGTATCCATCTCATCTCCACTTACCCAGTAGCACGGGACACCCGAGGAGACGGAGATCTAGAAGGGCATTCAGGGTTACTCAGGAGGCCCAGGGAAATTCAAGTAGGGCAAGGGATGATGGATGTATGGATCACCCACCCCTGCCAATTATCTACCCCATTGAGTTGCCTGTCTTCGCCTTGAGTACTGACCGGTACCATGTGTAGAGGAGCAGGAGGATTTTTGAGTGATTGGAGAAATAAGAGGGGGGAAAAACAAGCTCATTGACTATTGTTGGTATTGTTGGTACAGTACACTGTGCAGCATCTCAAGAGAAGACATTCCACCGCGTGCTCGGAATGTTAGCCATCAAGTTCCCTTTTCCCTCCCTCTCTTCAGCCACTTCCGCGTCCGCGGCAGCCAACAAATACTCATCTCACTTAAAGGGATCATCCAACATTCCCCCTCTGATGGTCCCGATCGACACAAATTGAACCATGGCAGGCAGGTATGTTTCTACTTAGCATGTATGGGTGTGGTGTATATTGACAATCGTCAAATTCAATGGATAGATTTGGTTACCGTCTATCGACAATTTCAAATACTTGCGTGATCCTGTATACCAACCTGTCTTAACCAAGCGTCGGCCACTCATCGCCAATGTATGTACTGTACTGTCTCTTTCTTCTGTTCTATGTCGCTGGAGTCATCCATTTTCCCCCCGCCCAAAAAAACAGCCGCTCTCAAACACCACGCTGGAAATTCTCAAAAAGATTACCTCTTACCCCACTTCACATGTTTATAGGAGAGTCTTCATGTCGTTCGCATCGCGGATACCCACCACATTGCCAGCCTTGACACGCTTCAGAGTCAAGGCAGCAATGAGGGCGGCACCTACACCAGAACCATCCTCGGCAGCCTGGATGCAGACCTTGTCCTGCTCCTCGGGAGCCCAGTCAAGGATTTCCCGCAGCGCCTGAGCACCACGGGCCTTGAAGTGGGGGTACTTGGTGAACACGGAACCATCGGCACCCACGTGGCACGACTCGATGTTCTTCTTCTTGCAGATGGCAGCAACACCGCAGGCCGAAAGGCGAGCCGCACGGGTACCGATAAGCTCCGCAAGGCGGCGGATCATCTCCAGCTCGGGCTGCGTCGCCTTGATCTTGAGCTTGCGCTCCAGGAGCTCCTCCGTCTCCTGGAGGTTCTCATACGGATCCTCCTCAATGGCGGCCAAGAAGGACGAGTCCAGGAGGTAGGGCTTGCGCAGCTCCGAGGTGTTTTGGCCGTTGAAGATGAGACCCGGGTGGGTCTCCAGCAGGTCAACCAGGGCGAGACGGAAGATCTCACCCAAGTAAAGACCGGCGGTCATCTTCTCGAAAGCCTGCTGGCCGGGACGGGGAGAGTCCCGGTCGATGATGTGATCATACTTGGTGAGGGGGAGCACAATGTGCTCGTTGTCGAATGCGCCATACTCGCAGTTGATGGCGACGGGCATATCAGCGGGTAGGTTCATGTGGCCAAGCTTGGGGATAGAGCCCGCATTCTCCATGTAGGCGGCGTTAACACCAGTGCCGAAGATGCAGCCAATCTTCATAGCAGGGTCGGTGTACGCAGACGCGATGAGGGTTCCGGTAGTATCGTTGATCAAGGCAGCAACCTTGATAGGCAGGCCCTGTAGGTCGCGAGAGTATCACATTAGCACGCCTCAACCCAAAATACGCATGGAAGAGACCCACCTTGTCCTTAAGAATCTTCTCCAGAGGAGGAACGACGTCGTGGCCCTCCACTCCATCAATATCAAAGCCCTTAGTCCAACGCTGCAGGACACCGTGGTCGATGTAATCCTGGGTGGCGGGATAGGAGAAGGTGAAACCCAAGGGAAGCTTAGAGAGCTCCTCGCCCTCGTGGTGAGATTCAATGAATTGCTGCAGACAGTCGGCGATGTACTCCCACAGCTCCTCAGCAGTGCCGGTTCTGAGCTCCTCGGGCATCCGGTACTTGGACTGAGTGATGTCGAAGCCACCCTTCTCCTTGGTCAAGGTGATCTCACAGACACGCAAGTTGGTACCACCCATATCCAAGGCGAGGAAAGTTCCCTGTTCATCACCATCGGGGAATCCCATAACCCAGGTGACATTCATGGGCTGAGGTGAAGCCAGCCAGTTAGTCGATCCGATCCTTCTCGATGGCGGAGCTAATTGCCCGGTCAGGCCATACTCACAATGTTGCCACCCTCGACACTAAGACCTGTTCACGCTCAACTCAGACCTAGTCAGCTGCAAGAAATCATTGGGAATTTTGTGAATGGGTTGGGAATTGATCTAGGTATGGAAAATGTCGGATATTCGTGACTGTGTTTTTGTTGTTGTTCAAGGGTTGTTCAAGGGGAGGGAAGAAGCTTTATGACGTACCCTTCTCCAATTCCTTCACAAAGTGGTCGACAACCTTCTTGAGTGTGGCCCGGTCAACGGTGAACATATCCTCAAACTCCTTAATCTGCTGCAGGAGGTTTTGGGGCACATCGGCCATGGATCCTATGGTCGGGTCAATTGGAATTCGGCATCCCGTGGAGGGAATGGAAGGGAAGGAGGCGTACCCTTGCGGGAAGGGGGGCGCTTGGGACCGAGTCCAACCATTGTGAATAGTGATGATGAGAGGGGTATTGGAAAAATCACAACGAAAGGGATGGGGGATGGGGGATGACCAGCAACTGAAGAAGAGAGGTATTATGGAAGGGAGAAGGGATTTAGGGAGTGTGTTAAGAGGGAGAAGCAGAAGAAGAGTGAGACAAGAGAAAGAAAGACAGCGATGACGACGTGGGGCAAAAGGTCGGGTTTGGCGGGGAATATTATCGGGGGCAACTGGCCACTCGGCGCGGGTCCTCCTCACCGGTGACTGGCTTTGGTCGCGGCGGGTCAAAATAAATACGATGTCTAGTCAATGAGTCAATAATCTTCCTCAATTATTATACTTGAGTAATCCTTGAAACATGATCGGTCTTTATATGGAGTCTCGAGTGGGCAATGGCGCCAGGGGGATCCGACTGTTCCCACTTCCCTTCTGCGGAGTTCAAGAATGCTCAGATGGTGGAGGTGGGGAGGAAGAGGGAGGAGGGGATTGCTTTAGGGCTGGGAATTGACTACTCTCCTAATGCATTTGGATTCCTGTCCTATCATTACTGTATGCGAAGATAATTCCTGTCTTAGTCTGTCTTTGTTTTATCGATCGTCTACTCATCAGGGTCATTAGAATTCATCAGCAAAACCCCCCTCCGCGGTCGAGACGCCCGAATCCGGGCGGAATGGTCGACCAGCCACCTAAACCAATCTTTCACCCTCTTTCACCCTCTCATGCCCATCCCCATCCCGTCTTCGTCAAAAGCCAATAAGCCATAACCTAACGTCTTGGTTAGAAACTTTCCGATCTATCATCTTCTTTTGTGGCCCGTGTCAGATGGGGGAAGACATGGGCCAGCCCTTCAGTGCTTGTCTCCCCCGCATGCGAGCTGCGGCTGTTATTCGCCGGGTCAATTCGATCTGCGCGATCCGCTTTCCCCGCGACGGCTCCCCCTAATTGTTGGCGGACACGTTGTTCGTAGGCCTGCGAGATACCCAGCGTGCGATTGACCTCTTCCGTGAGACGCTCGACTTCCTCCTGTAACTGCTCTTCGCGTGTCCGAGGCGGTGTATCCTCCACCGTCTGTGCGCCGGATTCCTCCGGCAATTTGGTGGCTTCCCACAGCGCCTCCAACTCCTCCTCCCAACCCAGAGCGCGAGCGAATCGACGCACCCCGGTATCGCAATCCCCCAGTACCAGGACGTCGTCTGGGCGCGACCCCAGTCCTCCGACCCGCTCCATGTTGATCAGCACCCGCGGTATCCCATCGCGACAGAACCCGGGCAAGCTAGCAAACGGTTGCACCGTCAGACTGGTGCCCATGACAATGCAGAGATCGGCCTGTTCGGGCAAATCGCTGCTGCTAAAGAAGTCCGACGGTAGCGCTTCCCCAAAGAAAACAATATCCGGCTTCACAAGCCCGTTGCACTCTGGACAGTAAGGCACCTCTCCCTTAGCAATGGCTGCCTTCATCTGGTCCTCTGGGTAGTCCGCCTTGCAGTCGATACACCGCTGGGTTGCAAAGCTCCCGTGGGCCTCAACGATCATCTCCCCCGGCACCCCTGCCAGACGCTCAAGGCAGTCGATGTTCTGCGAGAAATTTTTTAGAAGGCGCCCCTTGTCGTAGAGCAGTTTGATGAACGAGTGTGCGATCGTGGGTCGGTATCGGCCCGGAGCGAGCTCGCGGGCCAAGGTGTAGAAGGGCTTGGGGTTCTCGCGGAAGAAACTGATGTCGAATACGGCTTCGGGATCGGGCAGATCTAGGTAGGCCAGGTTGGAATAGATGCCCGTGTCAGGGGAGCGGAAATCGGGAATGCCGGCCGAGGTGCTGATGCCTGCACCCACCTGTTTGCCGGGTATCTTCTTGTCAGCAACTACTCTGTTTTGAGGTCCGGAGATGTCTTACCATAACCACAATGCGTCGCACATCTTTCTCAAGGATATACTTGGCGACTGCCTCGATAGTGCGCTTCTCCAGCACGGATGGGGGGGCCTTCTCGTCCACGTCAGTGGAGGATTGGTTGCCCATGATGCGAACAACACGGCCAATTCAAGGCCGTCCTTGATGGAATAGTGATTAAGTGATAATTCGTGCGCAGTTATAGTTATGGCGCGTCGGGAAGAGCGTGATCCCCTCGAGACACGAAAGAAATAGCCGAAAGTGGCGTGCAATGCAATGGGAAGAAATTCCGAAATGACGTCGAGATGAAAAACGGTCAATTTCCGAAAAAAGAAAAGCCCATCATCAACATTAGCTGCTCTTCCGCCTCAGGTGTCAACCATCTGCTACTCGGTATAAACAGCTACACTCACCAGCCTGATCACTATTTGATAACGAGTCAGGCTTGTATCAAAGAAGCTATCTACCTTCACTTGAGACTTCGCGGTTTAGCTTTTCCGTCTCTTGAATAAGCAGAATTATGTTTACTACAGTTTATCAATGTGCTGTAATCCACACCTGAGGCAGCAATCCCCGCCCGCTGACCGCCTTCGGTAATTATGCCATGTTGTTCGGAATGGCTTCGATGGCCTCCTTTCCTTTCCATCCTTCGGAATAACACTTTGACTGCTGTCGCAGCCCAGAGCTGCTCGCTTTTCTTATCGGCAATGGCCAATCCTCCCCTTGGCAAGGTCAATGGCCACTCTGACGCCGGTCTCAGCCCAACCAACACCCTCACTACCGTCTTCAACGCCAGCTCCGTCGCCGAGATCAAGGCCACGCTGTCTCACCTACATGAGCAGGAAGCTTCGGTGACTGCCCGCCTCGATGCTCTTGTAGCTTCTCAGAAGGACTTCTCACGCGAACTTGGACGGTTAGATCTGCTTCGTGCGAACCTGGGCTCACAAACTAGTACCACGCGTGCCATCAGCCATGGCATGCTCGCCGATGCGGCCACTACCGCCGATCGGATTTCCAGCGCGGTTCGTCGTCTGGACCGCGAACAATCTCGTGTGAAGGCTACCCTCGCTGTGGTAGATCAGGTTGCTGAGCTAAAGGCATGTGTGTTGGGAGTGGCTGGCTCGATGGGGGCCCCGCAGGATTGGGAGACTGCGGCGAGCTACCTGCACCGCGCAGCCAAGATCCCCCCGGAGGTGATCCACGGGGCCTTCGCGGCGGAGATGGTGCCCACCGCGGAGGTGCCTGACCCGCCCCATGTTACCCTCGACAGCGCCGCCGAGTCACTTTGCGGTCTCTTCCTGCGTGAATTCGACAAGGCCGTCCAGGAGAACAATGGTGCCCGCATCACTCGCTTTTTCAAGCTCTTTCCCCTAATTGGCCGCTCCGAGGTCGGTCTCGACGTTTACGGCCGCTACGTCTGTCAGGGTGTTGCCGCTCGCGCTCGATCCAATCTTAATGCCTCCGGCGGCCAGGCCAAAGACGGCTTCTTCTATGCCAGCGCACTCACCAAGCTGTTCGAACATATCGCCCAGATTATTGACGGCCACGGCAGCCTCGTCGAGCGTCATTATGGCCCGCGCAAGATGAACCGCGTCATCGAGCGCCTCCAGCTTGAGGCTGATGTTCAGGGTGGCATCATCCTTGACACTTGGAGCGATGAGCGCCACGTAGATCGCAAGCTGACTGATATCAAATCCTATGCCTTTACTTTCCTCGTGCAGAGCTTCTTGCCGCCCCAGCGCGGCGGTGGCACGCCTCGATCCATTTCACCTGCCACCCGCGACGGAGCCGCCGAGGATGAGGGCGTCGACATGAAGGAGATCGACGGGCTCCTCAACGAGATGGCCGTTATGCTAGGACGCTGGTCATTATACTGCCGCTTCCTAGCAGACACCTGTAATGTAGTTTGCCTTGCTGATTTCCACAAACTGTAACCTGATACTGACTAATTGCCAGCCTCCCGGGGAGAATGATTCCACCAACCAGTTCGCCCTTCCCGAGTTTCTTCGCGAATCCTCCCTTGCTAGAAAGATTAATGAACGTCTCGCCGCTCCTTTCAATACTATGACGACTTTCTTCTTCCGTCGATCCGTAGAAAAGGCCTTTCAGCTCGACGAGCAACCATCCGGCCTGACTCTCAACCCGCATAAGCCGCTGAAGGCCGACCCACCACACATCACCTCCGCTGTTGACGACATCATGTACATTGTCAACAAAGTCCTGCAGCAGTCCCTTGCAACCTCGCAGATTAGCGTCGTCACCAACGTCGTCCCGACGGTTTCGCGCGTTCTCGGCTCTGACTTCATCGGCATGACCCAGCGGAAGATGCGTGACGAATGCTATCCGCGCGCCGCGGTCCAAGGCGCCCAGCCTCCGGAATCGCTCACCATCCCCTTCCTCGTGCTCATCAACAATCTCGACGTCGCAGTCGACTACATCCGGCGCATCCTTCACAAACATACGGAACAGAAGATTGCCAGCCAATCCGAACCTTCGTCCACCACCACCACCGACCCCATCCAGGCCCTGTTCCCCAGCCCCACAGAAGCCCAACTGGCATCTCAAACCCTACACTCCCTCGCCAGCACATTCGAGTCCAAGGTCACAGACCTCCTCAACGATGGCATCCAAGTCATCTTCAACAACGTCATCAAACACCGCCTCCGGCCCATCCTGTCGGACGCCTTCCGCGACATCGAATACCAGCCCCGGGACGCCAACGACCCGGTCCGTACGGTCTACAACGCCCCGACGATCCCCAGCATGAACGAGTATTACGACTCGGACGACCCGATCATCGGCGCCCCCGACGCGGCGGCCGCCGACGGGGAAGCCGACCCGGGCGCGGAGCTGGTGCGCCCGCGCTTCGCGACCGCGTGGAACGAGCTACTCCTCCCCATCAGCCGCATCCTCACCGCCTCGGCCTTCGACCGCCTCCTGACCGTCACGGTGGCGTATTTGGCGCGGCTCCTGGAGAAGAGACTCTGGAGCTACCACGGCCGGGTCAACGCGCTCGGGGCGACGCGGCTCGAGCGCGACGTCTCCGGCGTGGTCGGCGCGGCGGTGGACGTCGGCGGCTCGCAGGGCCGGTATCGGCACCGTGACGCGTTC